TGAAGCTGACGTTTGTGTGTGTGGCGAACTGCCCAGCTACGCGATCCATCTCGTGCGCGTCGATGCGCCCCTCGAGTACGCCGCCGTGTTGCTTGAGGCACTGAGTGATGTACGTCTCTTTACGTTGCCCTCTCTCTCATCTCTTTCCTCCGTCTTTCCTTGCCTCTGCAAATCGCACGGTGTGCCCCCCCCCCCAGCTGACACTGCCCTGCTCCCGTTTGCACACCAAACAAACAGGTGCTGGAGCGCGAACTGTGCCTCGCCTCGCCCGACAACGAAGTCCTCTTCCGTGCGCTCGTCGGCGTCGGCAATGTGGTACGTTTGCCCTCCGCCGCGTCTGCGCCCTCTTCTGCCCCCCTCCCCCTTCCTGCCCGCCTTGTGAAGCTGACGTTTGATCACACGCGTGTGTGTGGCAGCTCCTCTCGCCCTCGCGCCCCACGCTGCCAGGCGACGCTTGCCGCGCGGCGCTTGAGCTTGCGAAGCGTTCGCGCGCCGCGGCGGCGGCTCAGCAGCAGGCAGAGGAACGCGTGGAGAAGGGGGGCAGGGAGCGGGAGGAGACAAGAGAGAGACACAAAAGGAGAGGGGGACAAGCAGGGCGCGCGAGAGAAAGAGAGAGGGGGTAATGAGCAGGCAAACAGCTGAAAGCGATCACTTTGCGTGAAAGTCCTTCGTTGGCGGGGGGAACTGACGATGCGCTGGCGTGTGTGTGTGTGTGTGTGCGAGAGAGAGAGAGATAGCTAGCTTTTGGGGGACACGGCGCCGAGCGTTTGCGTGGGTTGCTGCGCTCGGCGAGAGGCAAGAGGGTGGGCGGGCATGATGGCTGCAGCGCCACGCTGACGGCCCTTGAGCTCGTGCTTGTCTAGTAAGCGCACGCGCGTTGCGTCGCGCGCGCTGCTTCTGCGAGCGCCAAGCTGCTGAAGCGTCAGACGTCTGCTGGGGCGAAGGCGGCGGCGCGCGCTCATCGGCACCCGCCTTGCTTCGCCTCCACATGCTCCCTCGCGCCTCTTCGCTTTCCCACCTCCAGGGCGCAGCGAGCGGGCACTACTCATCCCTTGCCATACTTGCGTGCCTTGTGCGGTTCGGCACCTGCGTCTCACACTCTGCTACAAGCCCCCCGTCGCCATGCTGCTTCCGCCGCTGCGCGCCAGCAGCGCCACACTGCTGCGCTGTAGCCGCCGCCGCAGCAGCAGCAGCGCCACGAGCCTCGCCCTCTCGCCGCCGCGCGTCTTGGGAGCCGGCGCCCCACCTGCGATCCTCTTCGCCCGGCATCAGCCGACACCACCCACTTTCATCGCCCGCACATCGCCAGTCTCGCACTGCACGCTCGTTGCGCAGTCGAGTCGACGCCTCTACAGCTCTGCGCCTTCTGCGCCGCCGCCGCCGCCGCCGCCGTCGCGTCGGGGCACTTCAGATGCAGGCGCGGCGGGTACATCTAGCCCCTCAAGCGGGCCCACTCCCTCGAGCTCCAGCGGTGCTCCCTCACGCATGCCGCGTGTCCGCACCCTCTTTCTGCTCCTCACCGTCTCCGCCGCGCTCCTGACCACGTATGGCCTCGTGCACTTCCTCGCCGCGTTTCGCACGTGGCCAACAGAGGTGCGCGTGCCGCTCCGACGCGCCCTCAAGGCGCAGAATGCCGCAGAGTGGCGCAGGGCTGAGGAGGCGTTCAGAAGGTGAGTCGGGCGTTGTCACACGCAAGAGAGAAAGGAGGCAGAGGGGGGATGCATAAGAGGGAAGATGATGGGTCAATGGCGAAGATGGGTTGCTGGCCTGCTGCAGTCAAGCATTCATGTCAGCCCGGCAACGGCCCTTCTTCATCTCTGGATCTCGTCAGCTTAAGGCAACTGACGCTTCCCCCAATTGCTTTCTCTCAGTGCTCTCTCCGTCGCCTCCTCGCTTCCATCCTCGACGCTCGGCGTCGATGCGCCTCTCAAGTTGTCCGGCATTTCCATTGCCCTCGGCTCTCTTCTCGAGGCGCAACTGCGTCCATTGGATGCCTACGTCGTCTATGCCTCTGCGCTCGAGACACTGCAGCAAGGCATCTCTGCCTCGCCCGTCTCGCCGCCGCCACAGTGGCGCATGCGCGCCGTGGCGCTCTCGCAGCGCCTCGGCGATCTGGCACAGCTGGCAGAGGTGAAGCTCGAGTTGGAGGGACAAACGGCAAAGGGCATTCCTCTCTGGTCCAAAGGCAGAGATGCGGCAGAAGCTCATCTCGTGTGGAGTGTCGAGGAACTGCTGCGCCTAGCAATTCCCGCCAAGTCGTCGTCTTCGCAGCAAGGTGTCGTCAGCGACTCGATCGAGGCGCTCTCAGAGCCTTTGCCTTCAAGTGCGACGACGACGACGGCAAAGGCAGAGGAGGCAGTGCAGCTCTCCGAGCTCCACTTGCCGCCTTGGATCACCCCCACGGATCTCGGCGCCAGTTTGGAGGCCTTGGGAGCGTTGTATGCCTCGAGGCACGAATCGCACCTCGCCGCTCCCTTGTTCCTTCACGCCCTCTCCATTCTGCTGCCTCCTCCCTCCTCTTCGCAATCCGGCAGCAAGAGAGTGCCGGCACCAACGGCGGCGCAACGCTGTCAAGCCAGCGTCCTCATGTCCAACCTCTCGCTCGTGTATCTCTCTGCCGCGGCTCAGACTACGTCGCAGAAGGCGGAGGAGGCGGCGAGGAGGCACGCGAGGGAGTGGGCCGTGAAAGGATTGGAACTGACGCAGCAGACGAGCAAGGCGGCGGGTTGGACGACGCAAAAGGGGAGAGACGAGGTGGTGCAGAGCAGCGAAGAGAGGACTAGGGAGGTGAGGAATCAGTGCATCGCCGCGGAAATCACGCTGCTCTTCAACCTCGCAAGCATGGCTGAGGTGAGTTT